AGTACAGCTTTGGAGCTGTAGTTAAGCCTCCACCTTCTAGCATGCCAGCGAGCAGAATGTTAAACCTGCATCATTATTTATTCCTCTCATGAGCTGCTGAAAGGCTTTGCAAGATGCTTTTTACAGTTCACTTGCATATTGACATGACTTTCTCCTCTGCTTCCCCATCCTCAGGGAGTTCTGGAACATAAACCAGGCTTAGCCAGCACTGACAGGCAGTCTATACAGAGCAGGATCCGAGAGGAAGCAGCCTGGGATTAGTGAGGAAGAATGACGGGCACACGCACTTAGTTTATAAACTCCTGCCACTAGGCTTTGTGCTTTATTTCCTGCAGCTTGAAGAACTCTAGTTTCTGCAGGGGCAAGTAACACTTAAGCGACCAAACTAAGAATCCTACAAGACAGGACGCAGCTCTTGGCTGCTGTTTCTGAGCAGGGTTGAACTGTTTGGGCATAAAGGGAAATGGCTGGGAAACGCATGCGAGTGCCATAGGGTGCTGAACAGGGGAGACAGGAAAGATGGTTTGCATTAAGGTGTAACGTCACCAGGATGAGGGGAGAGGAGCACACGGTTTCCTGTGATGAGAAAATGTGCTATGGCAGTGATGGAAGGGGTTTGCACACATGATAATCGCATGTTTTTCATCAGTTGCTTGCTATAAGATGCTGGAAAGCAGGCTGAGCCCAGGTCATGATGCCAACCCACCGTCCCTTTGGGTGAATGAGGGCTGACAGCTGAGCTGCGCATATAATAGCCATAACCTTCCCTTTCTGGCATAATTATCTCATGTCAGCTGCTTAGAAGCAAATATATCTGGGAGGAAAACGGGATTGTTGAGGAACTGAAGGTTGCTTAGGCGTAAGGGTCCTGCCTTAGAAAAGCGAGGAACCACAGGGGTGAAGCAAAATGAGTTGGGAGTTGCAGAGTTGCTCTCAACACAGTGCTGCTCTGCATCTCAAATGACAGCACCACACTTAAATGTGGCTAGCACCATTCAGTGCTCTGAGGAAATCTGCTTGTGAGGTTTGCTCCATCGTGCTTTCACCACTGACCATGCGGGTCTCTTAATCTGAACGTGTAAAAATGTGTAGTTGGGAGAATTTCCCTCCCATACCAAAGACCGGCCCTACTTCTCTTTTGCTGCTAATGCTTTCAGTCTTAGCCATCTGGCTAAGGCAAGTTTGTTCTTTTGAGCCTCTGGTTTCTCATCTATTCCCATTGATCCAAGTTAGCACCTTAAGAGAATTTGCCCCGGAGAGCAAGTAGATGGATTCATGACGAGGAGCCAAAGAGGTGTAAACACAGACCCTCCCCATAGGAAGTCACTTAGCCATTGCCGTCCTTTGGCACACTGGGGCTAGAAAGTGAGTAGTGGCAACAAGAGATACTCTAAGGTTTCGTAGTCCAAGCTTGCTCTAACTTACCCATGACGGGCACCAGGGTCGCCAGTTAAATTGAGCCGGTGCATCAGCAGGAAATAAAACTTATGACTTCACACTCAAAAGAGCCACAAGTCTTGTGTAAACTGATGGAGTGAGCCAGCAGAAAACTGACAGAGCCAGTGAGGTCTATTCCTCAAGAGAGAGTGTTTCTAGCAAGAAATTCAGACGTGATAAAATTGAAGGAAAATGTGCCAGTTTGGAGCACAAAATCCATTCCTTTCACCTGTGGCTCCCCTGAGCCATCCACTCCTTGGCCTCTGAAGCAGTGTTACATACCTTTTTTTCTGCAGGGCAGCAAGAGCTTGGCACAACTCGAATCCGGAGTGAGTTTTTAGGGCCAGCAGCACTGTTGTTACCGACAAACTGCCTACTTTTAACGAGAAACAAATGAACTGTGACAGGCATGGAAAGCCCGCTGTGCCACTTGCAAAACTCCCATTGAAATAAGTAGGTTTTTCTGCCTTGAGAGAACTATAGGTGGCCCCAATTTTTTCAGCGTGAACTACCTCTGCTTCCAGCTTTGAAGAGATTCAGATCCAGGTCAGAACTTTTGGCTTAGGCCTATTCCTAAACAAAAAAGCCGATTTGAAATGCAGCCTTAACTTATGTAGTCACATGTGCTGGGGGGGACGGGGAGGTGCTAAGGAGAGGGTAATATTTTGCACTTGGAGCCGTCAGTGTCTTTTGAGCGACGTGATGGCTCCAGCACCATCCTTCATTTCCCATTTTGGCTCATGGAGCTATATTCCTTTTGTCAAACATCCCTTTGCTTTATTTTCTAAGTGGATAAGTTGTTAAAATTAACATAAGTAAACACTAGAAACGCATGAAAAAATGAGGTGGACTGGGGTGGGTGGGAGCACCTTAAATTTGGAAGCATGTGTGATTGCAATGCATAGTTATGTCTCTTAAAGGTGGTAGACGCCCACTGGCAAAGACAACCTGCGAAGCATGCGAGAGGACAGTTGTCAAGGTAACTTGCATTGTGTGACTACGTAGAGATACCACCGTAAACAGACTTACAAAGCTAATGGAAGGTGACAGTGCCTCTAACAGGCATGTTACTGCTGGTGGGTGTTAGCGACGGTCGTGTGTATCATGGGCACTGTTCTCCAGAGGCAGAGCCCTCCACACGTGTTTGCAGTATGTTTTGGCCATTGGAAACATTTGTTTCATTCATCAGCATGAATTTGCTGCTGGTGAAAGGTGCTGGGTGGGTTGCCCTGGAACTTGAAGCGGGGGGGCTGTATTTTGTCCACCCCTGGGCTACAGTGTGTAGGGTCGTGACAGGTGTTAAGTCCCTAGGTATCTTGCACTGTATTAAGAAGTGCGGTTATCTTGGTTGCTTTATAATGCAGGCTGCGGGCTTGATACATGCTTGGAAATGCTATCTAGTTTCACTGTCGCTCAGGTGCCTGTATTCTCTGATGAAATGAAGTTTTGTAACTTTTTGCTAAAGCATTTCTCAGTAATTTCATCACATTGTCTGGGCCTCCCACAACAGGGTTGCATTTTAAGAGCTATGTTTGCCCACCCCTTTTCTGCGGTGGTATACTTCCATCCTCGTCCCACCTGTTACTGTCCCACACAGTGCTACTCGGCATATCCTAGCCACCCTATCCAGGCCCTGTGGGGTCAGTCCAGAGTCCATTTAAATCTACTGGCATCTTTCTGTTCATCTTAATAGGCTTGGATGAAACCCGCAGCGAATAACATGTCTAAGTTTGGAGCCCTTTTGCACAGCCTGTGGAGTTGTAGTGGTTTATTTAACAGAGTGCAGAAGAAAACGGTTGCTTGTTCATTCTCAGTTCTCCTGCACTTACAGTAATTGTGTTAAAAAGCTAATTATTTTGTGGCCCTGCCTAGGATGTCACTTCCTACACATGTACACCATCACCCATACTTTACATGGCCTTGCACTGCTAGGAAATGTCTGTCCTTGAGTGGAGGCTGTGGGTAGTTGTAGCCCACTTAACCCCCCAGTAGATGTCTGTAACGTGGTGGGCTGAGCATATGGTTGGGAAAGAGATCACAGGTCCTGGTCCCACCTCTGCACAACGCGCTGTATGGCCATCAGCACTGAAGTTTTCTCTCAGGTGTATATAGTTGTTAAAAGGTGCTTAGCCATTTTCACTGTGTTTCAAGAAGTCTGGATGCCCACAGTTGTGCAGATTGCTTCAGACTTGACTATTTCAAGTGCCGTCCACTGAGCACTTGCTTGTGCTTCCTGAAGAATTGGCTGGTCCTGTGCAATGCCTCCTTGCTTCCACATGCCATGTTGCCTTAAGATAGCTAAAAACACACTGCTGCTATTATCCATTTTGCAACAGCATTTGCAGCCTCCTGGTATGATGGGGGCTTCCACTCTCCGAGGAACTACCTACGTGCAGTAAGAGCAGGAACCTTTGTGGATCTGAGCCAAAGTCCGTGAAAGCAAGAACTGTCATTTACCATAAGTTTGCACTGTAACTTGCCTGACTGCTGTGGTCTGATCGTCCTCTAGATGTTACTACGGTATAATTGTTAAGAATAAATAGAGCAATATGAAAAATGAGACTCAAACTGCCTCAGCTTAATTAATATCTGCCTCTGTCCTTGGTGGAGGATTTTCCCCCCATCTGAGCTCTTGGTGGTTGTTAGCAGCAGGCAGTGGTGTTCCCCACCAGTGCCAAAATCATTGGACCCGTTGCCGTTAAGTTGCTCTTTCTGTTGGCTTTAATACACATCCTAAATAATCAAGGGGCTGCGCGCATCAGCAAATCATCTCGCGTGATTGTGTAGGGAGGAACAGGTGTCACCAGTCTTGAAGCCATTGCCTGCATCTCAAAAGCACCAGCAGGAGCAGGCAGGGAGAGTGGAGGACACGGAAAGGCGAGGGATTTTTGCTGTTGCTACAGCGAGGAGGCAGAAGTTGGAAGGAGCCTGAAAGACAAATGTTACTAAAAATAAAACGTGTGGGCCTCGTACAACTCCCTGGTGTTTCATTAACTGAGCTGTCACATTCGCGCAGCGCGCTGCTGAGCCGCAATCCCTGTTAATTAGTGGCGCAGGCTGATGGCCGAGAGCTCGCTGGAAAAGGGCAGCATGGGGGGCTCATTACCACAGCTGTTTTCTGTGATGGCTTTTGCCCCTTCTGTGATGGCTGCTTCATGCAGCTTGCTTGGGGCTGTGTGTTTTCCGAAGCGGCTTGGAGAAGTTGTGCGCCAGACCAGAAACCATAGCCCTCTCCTCCCCCACTCCAAGAAAAATATAGACAGCTCCTTAGAAACTGGCTCTGCTTCTCCCCTCAGATGGAAAAAAGCTAGAAGAGGTGAATATAAAAAAGCAGGGGGTGGCTGGAAGAATTTAGGAGCTGCCAGACGCTGAGTAGGTGCAGTTCGGCACCTTTAAGGAAAATGTTGACCGTGCACAGTGCTAGGAGGTTACTGGCCAGAGGCGGGTATTGTCCCTCTGTGCTCGGCAGAGCTGGCTAGGCAATAACGTGAAACCCAACAGCTGGTTGCGGGCTAGGACTCTGGCACCTAAGGTTCCTAATTTTGTGTTTCTCATTCTTGCAGATGTTTGTTGTTGAGAAGATACTGAACTGTTTTTTAGACTGGATTCAGCAGCACTGGAGCCAGTGCACAGGGCCAGTCCAGTGTGGTGTTGCATGTGCTACACTCCCTAGGCCAGTCTCTTGTGCCTCAGGCAGTGTGCATCAGTCCCACTGCACAGCCTGTACTGCTGGCAGTGCATGGGCTAGACACATGCTGCAAGCATTGCCTGGGACTCAGGGAGCTGG